AACTGAGCACAGAACTATAAACAACCAAATAACTGCCATAATCTAACTACCATTAAACAATTAATATAGTGCAAAACAATTACAAAAAAAACAGTTACAAACACATAGTGCTTTGTGCCAAAAATAATTTTAAAATATGTGAAAAAATGTCCATGTAAATAAATCCCCTCCGTAGTAACATATGTTTAACCAATGAACAACAACAGCCGAACTAGGAATGTTACGCGTGTTTTGAATTTTTTCAAAAACACAAGCTGCAACAATGTCTGGTGATAAGCCCGTGTATAATAATGCTACTATGTTCCGCTCGTTCTTCAAGTGTAGCTCAGTGTACCTTCTATTGAAAAGTGAATTATTTACAAATCATATCTTTACAACATTGACAATACAAAAGTGATACATTATGTACTGTTTAAGGCCTTGTTCACACCAAGCACGTTCCAGGAGGGGAGCAGAGCAGTTACAGACCGGAGCAAAACTGCGTCCAATGTATTCCAATGGTATTTTTAGCTCCAGTTCACATTGCAACATTCCGTTCCAGAGCAAGTCCAGAGCAGGTAAAAAAAAATGCAGCAGGCCCTATTTTACCTGCTCTCGATCTGCTCTGGAACGCATGAAAACGCATCAAAAATGCATGCAAACGCCCTGGAACACACTGAAAGCCCATATTAAACTTAAAATTATTATTTATTTTTTTTAACCAAAAACGGCCCGAAAAACACATCAAAAACGCGGCAAATAACGACTGCAGATCTGGTTTGCATTTGGGGTGAACAAGGCCTTAATCTATCTCCTGCAATAAACTGATATACTTTGTGCACTATATATACTATATAATCACATCAACTCCTCTGATGATTGTGCAAATAAATGATTTTAAAACATTATTATATACTTTGTGTCACTTCCTAACTCTAGTAAACATACTATGCCGACTATGCCGGTGGAATTATTTTTTGTTAATTATTTTATGTTTACACAATTACACAATTTATCACTTTTGTATTCTCAATGTTGTAACGATATGATTTGTAAATAATTCACTTTTCAATAGAAGGTACACTGAGCTACACTTGAAGACCGAGCGCAACATAGTAGCATTATTATATGTTTAACCAACACCTCTATGGGGATGTATCCTAGATGAACTAACCAGACCTTTTAGACCTACAATGGCCATGTGATAAATCAACTTCTTGCTCCAAAAGTAATCCATGAAACAGTGCAGGGCAATATGGCTCATAACAAAAAGAGAGATCTATAGGGTATCAAATATTTTTCAAAACAGGTTATATTGCTAAGTGCTTTGTGTCTGAATAAAGGGAAGGATAAAAGTCTGCAATCCCAGAAGGGAGGGCCCGGGTTCTTGGGGTAGCTTAGCGAACGGATAAAGGGGTAAAAAAAAAATTGTCTTTAAAGTGAACACATAAGCTATTTTTAAGGTTAATTACCATGAACAGACACCTCAAAATTGCCTATATCCCATTATGTCAGGGCTAAGTCCTGCCAACTGCAGAATGTTACTATGCATAAAAAGGCAATTTTTTACTGCAACAATAGGAATTCATAGAATATATAAAAACACAGGATGCCTGAAACTTGGCTAACCCTTAGTAGGGTACCCCAGCCAGAAAGGTTTAGACCTACTGCTTTTGGCCCATGTCACACTTGCGATCCTGTTGATGGCTGTGACAAACCAGTGACAAGATTGCTAGGTGAATGAATAAACCACTCACCTGCTTCAACTGTGTCACTCCCTCGCTGGTCTAGCTAGCAATGCTTTGGCTCTCTCTTTTTGGCTAATGGAGGAATAATCCCGTAGTAGCAGGCAAGTGTTCAATTTTGCAATCCTGTTACTGGCAGGGGCACCTGTTGGCACCTCTGCTGTAGTCCACAAATATGGTTTAGAGATGTAGAAATTAATTGGGATTAAATAGCAGCGGTATGACAGAGACACTCTTTTTCTTTAAATCACTAAAACCTCATAGTACCTTTAATATAGTAATGTCATTTTAAAACTTTATTTCAATCTATTTAAGGATACAGATTTCAATATAAGAATCCCTGGTGATCCTGATATGAAGGGTCTAGTTTGAGCACTTTCTGTCATAGAGTGATAACTGTCTGCTAATTGTGCTCCTGTGCTGTAACCCTGTCACAAGCCCCCAATTTAGACTACAAGCGTTCCTGATTGTCATCTAAATCTGAAGTGCTCAAACCTTCATTGCCTAGGTGTGGTCCACTGTTGTCACTACCAGGAAGCTGGTCCAGAGCATTGACATGCAACCAATGCTGGGGGGAGTGCATATAGACAGGATATGTCTCAAGGAGGTTGCAGGAGTTCAGAAGCACTGTAAAGGCAACAAAGGATAAAAAAAAGGAGAAAACTGTATTTTACTAAAAAAAAAAAAAAAAGATTGTTAATGAAACAAAGTGCTTTGGTAAACTAATTGTCTTCCAGTTAGGGCGTATATGTACTTTATGTGTGAAAAATTCTGTTCTCCTCTTCCTCATTTTACTTGGGACACATATAAAAAAATACAGTACTTGATTGTTACTTTGTGGGCATGATGAAACAAGTGTGAGCTTGTTTTGCATACCTTGGTAGAATCAGATTCTTTACTTGATTGCAAGTGCAAGTAGTATCATATGCATGGGCTTGTACGTCTTCAGATCCCTGTTACAGTTCCTTCTTTACAGAAGAGGTTTGGCATTAGTCACGCAATTGGTACTCCACCCAGTCTCATCCTTTCACATGGTATATATCATCTTTATAGAATGTCAATTGCATACCTGTTGGGAATATTAGTTACAGTCTAACTTAGAAATATGGATCAATGAGATCATCAAGATTTCTCGCATAATAGGTTTAAGACATTAGTGGATGATTTAGCCCATCTGTGCCTGCTCATAGATTAAATATCAGTTCGGTCACCTAAACTTTTCCAGTTCAATGTTTTTCTGTCATGAAGTAATGTTGGGGATTTTATGACAATACAATAGGCAGAAAATAGAATTAAAACTCCAGAACACCCTATCTATTAAGTTAACAGAAACACCATCTACACCAATGGTTCTTAACCTTTTCCCCACAATCCTAGGAAATGTTTATTTAATGTTTGCACACTACCAAATTAATATCACATTTGAAGGTGAAGAAGTCTAATTTTTGAACCACATACAATCAAACTGAACTTAAAAAAAGCTTAAGCTCATAACATGCAAATATAAATTGAGTATCCCTGGACTAGTGATTGACACTGTACAGTTGGTCAATTTTACAACCAATATACTCAGACATCACTAGCAGGAGTGAATGAATAGATTAGGCTACCAGAATATGGAGAAACAAACGCACACAAAGGAGGTAACATCTCTTTGCTATAAGAATTTGGTACCCTAATGCCATAAAATTTGAAAATCTATTTCTATGTGTGCAAAAAAACTGTTTTTGCGCATAGGTTTTCCAATTTTATACAGGTACACATCTTAGACTTGGTCAGAGGCATATTTTAAGTATGTACTGTATGAATAAAATATATATTTTAACTGCATATTCCTGCCTTGCTAAATTGTGCTCCAGTGGTTAGGTGGTTAATTACCTTATCTTATAATGGTCATGATTGGCCGACACATCATTTGCATTAACCAAGGTATACACTAACAGCAAAGAAAATGCTCATGATCATATACAAAAGTCCCATGTGACTGCCCGCAGATTGTTCCCTTTCTTAATAGAAAAGTGAACAAAGCTTTAGGAACCAATTTAATAAAAAAAAAAATATTATTTGCTTATAGTGAGAAGAGTCATGACACAATGGGCCCGATAAACTACGGTTGATAGTTGAATATGGTTCAATTTGTTGCATGCATCATCTTATTTTGTCGCACACCATCTCCAGTAAATTAATTTGTTGCAACGCATATACTTTATCATAATATTGACTTACTTATGCTCATGTCCACTTGCCGCACTTCTGAAGACCTCGGTTTCACCAAAAAAATTACATGGGCTGATTATGCGACTTTTTAGCAAAAACAAACATACAGATACCTTGTCGCACGCCTTAACGGGAAGCCCCAAATTAGATGAGTGGGGTGCTCGCAGTGACTGCAGATGGCGCCGCCAATAGAACGAAATAAATGGATGTCACCAGCACACCAATGATATTGCACTCCAAAGTGTTCGTTTATTGAAACGTCATGTCATCACGTCATGTCACCTCACCACGTGACATGGCGTTCCAATAAACAAACACTTTGGACTGCAATGTCATTGGTGTGCTGGTGACATCCATTTATTTATTTTTTGGCAAAAAGTCACAGTTTGGCATTCTTTACATTTGGTGCTGTAGCCACATCTGACAATGAACTGCTATTTGGCCCAGTCGCAAAAGATGCTTTCCATGCACCAAGAATAGTTTATCCAGCCCAATCTCCTTTCCCACCACTCTTGGTATGAAATCTGCCTATTTATTACCCCTACTGTGTATAGCAAGCTTCATGAATATACTGACATGAGCTTTTAAGGTCTGTTTAAGACACCATAAGGACTGCGTTTGAAACTATTTACAGCATAAACCAGGGCTGGGCTGACAGAAAGGAGGTTCTTATACTGCAATCTGCAGGACTGGGTTGTCAGTCAAATCCTGTCCCTCAGTTATTAAATAATGGACACTGGGGTTGTAGCAGACATTCATAAATGCAGAAATGCGCTTTAGACACACTTTGGTATCTTTGCCATGGGTGTCAGAGGATTTTGTCTCAGCATGGCATACAGTTGAACTTTATGTTCTTTTCAGTCCCCTAGTAACTTGGGCAGGCTGATTACGTAACAATAAGCTGCACTCCTCTACAAAAAAATAACATTTTGTAAATCATGTCAAGCTACTCAATGTATTTGCGTGTATACATAAAGATCATTTCTTAATGTGAAGCCACTAATGACTGTTTGTAGTTATTTTATATTTCTCTTTTCTGTTGTATAGCGTCAGCTAGATGAACAACTAAGAAAAGCTGGACAAAAACTTGTGGTTGTTACCTTCTCATCTCAAAATTGTGGTCCTTGCAGACCTGTAGCTGCTGGTTTAAAGGTAAGTGAACTTTAAAGAATCTTTAACAGCACACACAAATATTTTTCCAATTGACAAATTCAATTCTGAAAGTAGATCAAATCTTCTTACAAAGTATAGTAAACAAGTATTCATTGCCCAGCAAAGCATTTCTTTCCATTTTGCCCAGGCACCTGCATTCATCATTTTCCCCCAAACAGCTGGCTCCAACTCTCTCAGCTCAGCTTCCCTGAACTTCCTGTCCAGTACAAGATCACAATGGACTGTGCAGTCTCCTGCAGCTCCATCTACTAGCTAGGAGAAGGGAAGAGTGAAGCAGGGATGAGAGGAGTGGATTGCCTTGCTGTGTCTCTGTGATTGTAGAGATACACACAGCTTATTAGTACACAGAAAGGTGGCTCCATAGGAAGGAAAAGAAACCAAACTTAAACAGGAAATAAGGACCAGTGCCCAGAGGACTGGCTGATACTACAGGAAACTAAAACTTTTAAACATCAAGAAGGATAATACATTGTAAGTCATTTATTCAGCATGCAAAATATCTTAAAATACTTTTGACTTTAATATCACTTTAAGTATATATTTCTTTTGGCTCTATGGGTCACCCTATTCCCGTCTGTTAGTAGACTGGTTACATTTAAATAGATCTTACCTTAAAATGTATGCCCAGCCAGTTGTTTTAGAGTGGGAAAGGTTACACACCCTTGTTGGTTTGTTTCTGATATCTGGGCCTCTGATAGAGAGATCCCCCTTTATTTCCTGTCCTGCTGACAACAATTTCACCAGACAGGAAGTGAGGAGAACTTTCCAAACACAACACAGATGGATATAATGTATTTCTGTTTTTAGTAGGATAGAGGAAGGCTAGAATCCCTATCAGATTTTTATCAATGTATGTGGCCCAGTTGCAGATTTTCTTCTCTCTTCCTGTTTGGTAAAACTGTTGCCAGTCAGACAGAAAGTAAGGGATGTAATATCTGTAAATGAACCCCAGATAGCCGGAATAATCCAACTGCTGTTCTAGCTCCTCCCCACTCTATCCAAAATTAACTTTCAAGATTGTGGTTGTACATACACTTTAAGGAAAACAACCCATGGCATAACTGGCAGTAGATCCAGGCAATTGAAGATATTTGCAAATCTTGACTTTTCCTTGGAAAATCAAGCTTGACCCCATCCCTTTTACCTCCTGATCACACCTCTTGGTAAATGAGGCCACTCAGCACATTAGGGGGCTAAAAGGAGGTTTAAAATAAAAAAAAGGGATGGGTGCAAGCTAAAATTTTACAGCAAAGGTCTAGATTGGAATATAAAATCAGCCACAGAGTTCTTCCTAGGCCCATTTTTTAAAGGAAACTAAACTAAAGGAAATTGTACAGAGTGTAATGTGAGTGTAATGTGTGTGCACGTGTGTGTGTGTGTATGTGATGAGCATTAAGCAATTTGAATGCAACTCAGAAGAAGCTGGATGCAACTTCTTGAGCACCTGAAAGGCAAGTCAAAGCAGCTCAAGCATATGTCAAAACATCTGAGAAACCCCTGAAAATGTAATGAATTTGACTTGCAAAAATTGTACCTGACCAGTTTTCTGAAGGCAACACACACAGGGCCGGATTTATTCTCTTTGCTGCCCCAATGCCAGGTTCCTCAATGCGCCCCTCAGGCTGCATACAAGTGATCTCCACAGCATCGTCAAAATCACTTGTAGGAAACAAGCAGCGGCTACCCCGCTGTACATTTAGACCTGCTTTCCCAAAGCAGGGCTAAATGTAGAAAACAACTACCCACCCAGCGCCCAGAACTGCATATCCCGGGCGCCGGGAGAAAGGAATTCCACCCCACTGCTGCCCCTCTACTCCCTGCTGCCCCGAGGCTGGGCCTCGGTTCCCCTTGTGGGAAATCTGACCCTGAACACACTACAGTGTATGTTGTGTACTATAGTGTGCCTGTCAGCGCTTACTAAACATTACAATCTGATATACTGTAGGTTCATATCTGATCTCATTAATTCCTCTATTTTTCAGGCACTAAGTGAAGAAATGCCCGATGTACTGTTCATTAAAATTGAAGTTGGTAAATGTGACGTAAGTAGCAAAACATACACTTTGACATCTAAATACAGCTGAGAATACTATGTTAATCATTGCTCTGATATTTCTACAGGCATTTACAGAGCGTTTCAAAATCACTGGAGTCCCAGCATTCTTCTTCTATAGGAACGGCATTGAAGTAAGTTCAATTACTGTAACAATAGGAATGATCATAAAGCCCAAGGATGGCCTAGAATTTAATTTCCTGTTATTTACCATAACCATTTATTACCGTGGAAAAAAACAGTTTAGACCTAATTTTCAAAAAGGGACCTGCTAAACTCAGGAGTTAAATCATAAAAATGAATTCAAGTACCCTATTAACAAAAATGTATATTTGTGTTTTATTTGGTTGTCAATCCTCAAATATATATATATATATATATATATATATA